CTCGTACGTGTCGCCCTTTGGCGACTGACATATGACGTCTGCTCCACAACCATTTGAAGAAGAGCTTCCATCCACATATACCTTCCAGACTTGGTCTGGATCTCGAGAATCAGGGGGACGAGTCATCTCAACAATAAAGTCAGCAAAGGCTTGCCCCTTCACCGCTTTTCTAGGCTCGAAAGTAACCTCGAGGCTCTGTATTTCTATGGCCCATTTGATCATCCGGCCTGAAGACTCCATGGTGGTCAGTGGCCGCTTGATAGGTTGATCTGTATACACGACGACTGCATGTGCCAAAAAGTAGGGCTTCAATTTTTTAACAGCCATGAAGAGCGCTAGACCAAATTTCTCCACTAAAGGATACCTCAACTCGGCATTTTTTAGTACATGACTGACAAAGTAGACCGGTAGCTGACAACCGTCTCTTTCAGCAAGTAGAACAGCGCTTAACGCATGATCAGAGACGGCCAGGTACATGTAGAGTACTTCTTTGGGCAAAGGGCTGACCAGCCTCGGCAAGGAATGCAAGTGAACTTTCAATTTCTGGAAGGTCGCCTCAGCATCCGGCCCCCATTCAAACCTTGCCTTCTTCTTAATGGCTTGGAAGAAATATAAGCATTTGTCGCCTGATCGGTTTAGAAATCTTCCCAAGGCCGCCAGACAACCTGTTAACTTCTGAACCTCTCGGACGGTACGAGGCGACTGCATGTCGATGACCGCCTGCACCTTCTCAGGGTTCGCCTCTATTCCTCTCTGATTGATAAGGAATCCGAGAAATTTCCTAGACTCAACTCCAAATACACATTTCTTGGGATTGAGCATGACATGGTGCCGCCTGAGTGTGGCGAAAGTTTCTCGGAGGTCCGACAGATGATATATCTGAAGCTTAGACTTGGCAATCATATCATCAATGTATGCCTCGACGTTTCTCCCAATCTGATCAAAGAACACAGTGTTTATCATTCGCTGGAAGGTGGCCGGGGCATTCTTAAGACCGAACGACATGACCGTGTAACAGTATAACCCTTGATCAGTGACGAAGGCCGTCTTCTTCTGATCTTTCTTCCATAAAGGAATTTGATGGAAACCAGAGTAGGCGTCCATAAAGCTCATCAAAGCATGGCCGGCTGTTGAGTCGACCAGGTTATCAATTTTAGGCAGAGGGTAACTGTCTTTGGGGCATGCCTTGTTTAAGTCTGTGTAGTCTACACACATTCGCCAGGTGTCATTCGGCTTTTTAACAAGCACCACATTTGCAACCCAGTCTGGGAAGTAACATTGCCGAATGAACCCTGCATCAAGTAGTTTTTTAACTTTGGCGGCTGCCGCCTGACTTCTTTCTTCGCCATGGTTCCGTTTCTTCTGCCTTACGGCTTCTTTTTCGGATCCACAGCCAGTTTATGTACCGCCAGGTCAGGACTAATGCCTGGCATTTCGTGGACTTCGAATGCAAAGATGTCCTTATATTCTTTCAATAGTTTGTGAAAATAGTCACCCAGGACTCTCAGAGCAGTCGTCCCAACTTTGACTGTTCGCTCAGGACGTGAGTCGTCTAAGATCAAGTCCGTATGCTTACCAGCCGGCTGAGGGCGGAATTCATCCGACCGCTCCTCTGCCAATGATTGCTATTTTCTGTCCTTTCTTGCGGCCCCCGTCTGGGCTGCCTTTCTCTTGTTGCCGCCTGCTTCTTGAACAGGCGCACTCTCCTTGACATTGTCAAGGTCTGTTTTTCCACCACTTGACCCAGCGGCCGTAACAGTGGGCTTGATATCCGAGAGATAGCACTCTCGGGCCATCCTTTGATCTCCCCTTAGGGACCCGACTGTTCCATTATCCCTCTCAAACTTGAGCAACATAAGAGATGGGATTATAACAGCCTTGAAATTATTCAGGGTTGGTCGTCCCAGAATCATGTTGTAGGCCGAGAGTTCTTCTACTACCAGGAACCGGACTACCATGTGTCGTCCTTCCCCTTTTTCACCCAGGCGGATGGGTAAATCCACTCGTCCCACTGGGTGGACTCCTCCTCCTCCAAACCCTACTAAAGGGTGGGATGCCGGATGTATGCAATCAGTCTGATACTTTAGTTTTGACAGACATTTGCTACTGATAAGATCTGAGGAGCTTCCAGTATCTATAAGGATTCGACCAACTCTCTAGTTGGCCACTTTACATTCAATAACGATAGGGTCGTCATGCGGCCCCCTTACCCCTCCTAGATCTTCTTCAGTGATGACAGTCTCAGGAAATGAATATTTGGGGGGCCGTTCTTGGTGAACGGAATTTACATCTAGCCGCCTGATATTGTCTTTGTTGCCCCTAATAGTGGGACCTCCTCCTGCGAAGCCGCCTGCAATGGTGTAGACGACTGCATCATCTGTATCAGAGCTGTCGGCCTGTTGACTCTTTTTGGCCGACTGCTTTTTCGAGGAAGCGTTCCCAATAGATTTCTTGACATAAGAGTCAAGATCGCCTTGCTCAGCCAGGCGGTCCAGATACCGCATGAGACTGATGCATTCGTTGGTGTGATGACCAACATCTTCATGATAATCACAGAATTTTTCTTGGTTTTGGTTGCTTGCAGAACCCTTCATGGGGATCGGCTTCTCAATTGAGATCCGTCCCTTGATTTCCTTTAGGATAGCTTGGCTATCCTTGTTAAACGCATACTTTGGGGAGTATGGTTTGAATTCTTTTTTCTTCTTCTGGGCCGGCTGTTTAGAGGAATCAGCCGCCCAGACCTCTTTTCTTTTCTTTTCATCTTTGTTCGACAACTGTTTCTGTCGCCCTTATTTTTTGTCAAACCTTTTCCCGTCCGACTGTTTTGTACTACAAAGATCAGTCGCCTGTATATAGGCTTCCGCTTCAATCAAGGCCTCTTGAAGAGTCGCCACCCTCTTTCGGACCAAATCAAATTTGAATGTCGATCCGTCTTTGAGGCCTTTGAAAAATTCAGTATAGGCTACCTCATCCGGTAACCCTTGAATCTGTATTCTCATCAGGTTAAACCGCCTGATGTAAGAACGAAGCCCCTCCTTCTCGCCCTGCTGAATCGTTCCTAAATCAAGGGTCGTCTTCTTCGCAGGTATGTTCATGGAAAAGTTGGAGGTGAATAAGTAAGCAAGCGTCTTGAAGTTATTCACACAACCAGTAGGCAGGTTGCCGAACCATTGTTGTGCGATTCCTTTGAGAGTCACTGGGAAACACTTGCACCAAGTGGGATCATCCAACCCTTGAAGATACATCAGGTTGGTGAATGCCATCAAATGGTCTTCTAGGTTAGTAGTGCCGTCATAGGCGCCTACTAATACATTTTTTACTTTGGCCGGCTGAGCGGCTTCAGCAATTTCCTTGGAGAAGGCCGACGGCTGTTCCCCAAGTCTAAGAAACCGTAGCTGCCAGTCCATAGGTTGGACATTCTTTGCTGCATGCCCACCAAACAGAGGTGACTGCAAAAAATATTGTTGTTGCGGTACAAATGGTAAGTTTGGTACCGCCTGGTCACTATGAAAGCCGGACTGACGGGAGGTGCCGCCTGACTGACTCTCATGATACGACTGAGTATACTTCATCGAGGTATTGCGTAGACTGTCTTGGAAGTCTGAAGTAGAGGCCGACTCTAACAATCGGTCATTCTTCTTCTGTTCTAGCAATAACCGAGCATCTGTGTATGTTTTCTTCGACCCGTCCGCCTGAATATGACGAACAGGTTTCCTTTTTCCTGGAGTAGGAAAGCGGTACTTTGTGAAATCAAGGGCAGACGGCTCCCACTTCCTAGAGTTAGGGTGAGGGGTCGCCTCTCGCCCTTGAACTGGCTTCCTCTTCCCTGAAGTGGAAGGTTTCTTAGCCAACTGCTCCTTGGCCAGAGCAGGCTTCTTGTTGAGCAACTCTTGAATCTCTCCCTTGAAGCCCCTCATGAAGGTTATGAGTTCGTTTCTTGTAATGGGAGCAGACCTATCAGCCGGCTGCTGCTGAACAGGCGGTGCGCCGGCTGGATTACTAAGTCCAGTTTGAAGATGTTCCCGTTCCCTCCTTTCGGTATGACGGGTGCGTCGGGCCCTTAGGGTCCCGTCTGAAGCTGTGTGAGCTTCAACTTCAAATTCTTCCTCAGTATCATGGTCCGACTGAACTTGAGGGTTGTCTAGGGGACGCCTCTCTTCAGGAGTCGGTACAGACGTGGATGCCATCTCAGAAGTACTCTCCCCACAGACGGCGCCAAAATGTTTTGGGGTTTTCTGATGTCCTGCGGGAGAGTTACAATTCCGAGACTGGAACCGGACGCCTGTACCTGCAAAACAAACGGATGCTCCGGATGATTGGAGATCCGCCTCCGACGGTCAAGTTAGTACTTGATTAAGGAGTAATTAATGCGGAAATAAAGGTGATTGGGTCTCTCTAGGTGAGAGTGTTTTATGTGCGTAATCCCCCTTAATGAGGATTAAGGGAGGTATTTATAACCTTGGGAAACGTGCCAATCCTAGGTTTAGGTTAACCTAGGGCTGATTGGGCTTCCCTTGGAAGTTGGGCCTAGGTGGCCGGTTTCTCCATTAGGCATGGAGGATGCCACGTGTCATGACATAATAGGTCCAGGGTGGACAAATAGGCGTGTGCCACGTGGCAAACCCTGACAGTTCCAACTGGGGGACACTTGGCAGGACCTGATTGGTCCACGTGGCGCATTCCAATTGGTGGGAGCAAAATCCCCTAATCAATATTGATAGTTAAGTGCAATCGATATCACATTTACACATTAAGATGTTAAAGATATAAGATATGTTATTTTCTAAACAAAAAAGATATGAGATATATTACAGTTACAGATATTGGGTATATCTATGTTAAGATAAGTTTTTCTATTTTTGTTTTTTTTACGAGTATGTTAAGATATGTTTATGAAAAATTTTAGTGGTTGACATAAGATAGATTAAATATAGATTTTTGATGGGCCAAGAATATAAATATTGCTTTAAAAAAAACAAATTAAAATTCATAACTTGTCGATGGCTGATTGGGGTAATATACCCAGCGAAATAGCGAGTGTGATTGCAGAACATCTGGAAAAAGTAGAAGACTTTGAAGCTTTTGCGTTGGTTTGTTCAAGTTGGAGAAGAGGGGCGAAAGAATGCAAGTTTGGGTATGAAGCCAAGGCATGGCTTATGCTGGCCAGAAGCAAAGAAGGTGGGCCGAAGCAACGTCGGTTTTACAGCCTCTATAACCGCAAAGTGCGCACAGTGAACCTCCCTCTGTGCTACCATATGAGGCTGTTATCGTCGCATGGATGGTTACTGGCCAGTGCTACTGACGAATATTATAATCTGTTTATTCTCAACCCCATGTCCGGTGCCAAAATAAACCTTCCTAAGGTTACCTGCTTGATTAATACCAGGGAAATTCTCAAGTTCATCCTATCAGGAAACCCATCCTCCTCTAGTGATTTCACAATCGCCTTAGTTGCGTCCGCACCCTATCCCTACTTTCAGGGTCATGGGGCCATCTGTTTCTGGGGACACGGCTGTGAAAGATGGCAGACAATTTTTACGGACAAAAGACTTGATGTTACTTTTTACAAGGGAAACTTTTATGGCGTCAACGATTATGGAAATATATGGTGTTATGAGTTAGACCATTCAACAGGTCGTCCTCACCAGCGGCTTGTTGCTAAACTGGAACCTACCGGCATTTTCACGAGATACCTTTTCCCTAAAGATCCACGCTACTTGACTGGCAGGCTGATAGAATGCTACTTGGTTGAATCAGAGAATCGCTTGTTGCTCGTGATTAGGGTGAGACCATTCCACCAAACTATGTTCTTCAAGGTGTATGAGCTGAATGTCTACAATGGAGAGGCCAAACATGTTCCTGACTTGGGTGATAGAGCGATTTTCGTGGGTTGGAACTCATCCTTTTCTATAAAGGCATCATCTTTTGCTCATGGTATCAAACATAACTCTATCTATTTTACTGGTGATTATCGGATACCTGGGGATAGTGACGCTGGCATCTTCACTTTGGCAGATGAAAATATTCATCGCTTTGATGACATTGTTAAACCAGAACATTTGTATGAAAATTGTTATGCAAATGCACCATATGTGTGGCTTCAGGATCCAAGCTTATGATCTATCTCTTATACTTCGCACTAGCTACAAAAAAGCGTTCTAATTTAGATTCTATCAATAATACAACTTTTGTAAACCTCTTTTCTTATTTTTGTATTATAATGGTTCGCGGATTTTTTTTTTATTTTATTTATTTATTTTTTATTTTGTATTATGGCAAGTAGCCACCATAACAGCCCCGCAGCTATCACGAACCACACCACCCAAACCAACATCATTGTTGAAAACAGCAGCATCTGTATTCAGCTTGAAGCAACCAGGGGAGGGGGGAGACCAGGTGTGGTGCACCTCCTGTCTGGTCCTTAGCTCCGTAGGGAGAGGACAGTTAGCCAAATCATACTCACCCACGGTGCTCACAGCTTTGTTAATAACAGACTCCACATCAACCACTTTCTTATCGGAGCACCAAGCGTTTCGTTTTAGCTAAATCCCCCAAAGTGTACACCAGAAAATATCCCACCAATGTTTATCCTTATACACCATCAATAAAGAATGGCACCAGTTAAAGAAAGAAAACTTATTATTCTCTGGGCAGCCAGCCTGAGAGGGGAGAGATACCACACATTTTTTGCATTTATACAGAAGATAAGAGCATGAGCACTACTTTCAGAAAACTCACCACGCACAGGACACACATCAGAGCTGCAGATACCTCTCCTTTTCAGATTATAACACACAGGAAGACCATTGTGCAGAGATCTCCACCCAAAATGCTTGATTTTTGGTGGGACTCCAGCATCCTAACGTAATGACCAGGTGGTTTTGTTGGGAATAGTTGAAGTAGTTGCCCTGTTGTCTCTTCTAGCAGATAGCTCGGCATGGTAAGCACTACGCACCAAAAACTCCCCATTCTTTGTAAAGTGCCACGTCCAGCCATCCTCAACTCCCTGGTGAGCAACCGGAATTTTCAGAATTTCCCTCACTTCCCAAGCAGAAAAATGCTCCCTGAGACGGTCCTGATCCCACTCCCCGTTACAGAAAAGTTCAGCCACCAATTTCGGAGCATCGTCAGGAAGATGCAGACGCTGTAGAGCTGTAAAGTTAGGCAAATTTGGGACCCAAGGGTCTTTCCAAATCAGGTATAACTAACATTTGTGTTCACTTTGGCCTCCATGAGCTCACAATTTGGAAAGTATTTCTGTTTCAGAGTTTAGACATAAGGGAGTTCGGGTTGTTGAGCAAACGCCAGACCTGTTTTGCAAGCATAGCCTTATTAAAGACTGACAGATCACGCATACCCAGCCCCCCATCTCTCTTAGAAAAATTCAGCTTTTCCCACGCAACCCAGGCAGTCTTGTGCTCATTATTTCGTAGACCAAAGCAGTTTCATAGGTTTGTGGTAGTTTACATAAGATTATTATTCTACAATATGCTAACTTATTTTGATATGAGAGCTTTGCATTTGAGCAATCGAAAGACATATCTGCAAGTATGCACATAATTAAGTCAGTTTTTTTTTTTTTTTGTTAGGAAGTTTATGCATTAGAAATGAGTCTTCACCATCTTCATAGAAAATTTCATTTCTTCAAGTGGCCGTAGAAGGTTTAACAAAGTTAAAAAAAACTAACTCATTACGCCCCTTCTCTAATCTCTATGGATGCAACTTGCAGACGAGGCACTAACGCAGGTGTCCGGCGATAGTATAAAGAATATGGTTTACTTCTTAGGTGACATAAAAGCAACCCTAGTGTTGTATAAGCCGTATTGACAAATCACTGTACACTATAATATGGACAAAAGGCATATGCAGAAATTAGTACGAGGAATTAACACTCAATGCAGCAGAAAACCTTGCTGTGACTTAGTGATGACCTCTTCTGAGAGCTGAGAAGAATCCGCCACCACCATGTTTGTCTTTCTGACCTTCAGCACTGGCAAGTAGTTGCAACCTGTTTCGAAATATGAGCAGTCAGAAAAACACAGAGAAGAAAGGAAGGAAAGGCCAAAGGTATCAAAATATAGAATGGGGGCAAAAATGTAAATAAACTTTTAGCCATTTAGCCATCCCATGACGGCATGACTGATAAGATTCACCAACTTCAGGTCAACTCCAAGTTTGTGGCTTTAGACGCATAACCCCAATTCAATGCAACATCAACAACATAACAGAAATTAAAATACTGAAAAGGTCATTACCAGTTCTCCCACCCCTCCCCCCCCCCCCCCCCATTTGAACAAATTAGTATAATTGAGGGAAAACAGAAATAATAGACTTTTAGAGAGCGAGAAACAACTTGGAAAAGAGATGGCAAGACTGCAATTGGGAGAAAGAGATGAGAAGGATATTTTCCTGAAAAATTTTGGTAATTTTTTTTCTTCTGAAAACACCCATGAAGGTTAGCTAAGGTTGACTATATTGTTAGTAAATCTGCTAAATATTTAAGGTAGATCCATCAAGAAGTATTATTTAGAAAGGTAGATCCCTTAAAGAATATTCCCCAAGCAAACTAAATGCACATAGATTTTTACAGTTGGGAAGGGAAAGATAGTAATAGAGACATACACAAAAATCATGTCAACGTAGTGCGATGTATCTCATTGACATGTATAAGCCCACAACGACGAGATCCACAACAAACACATCGCTTCCTAATTTGGGCAGGATGATGTATGAGTTTTATACCATGATTTATCCCGGTTTTACAATGTATATTTGCATGGTTTTGGGCTCTTTGGAGCCATTTCTTGCTAACAATCTCTTCTCTAGTGTGTTCGATCTATTTTTGTGAGTTTCATAGGAATACGGAGTTTCTTAGATGAATCGAACATGTTTTGGATGTTTAAAAGAAGAGGTTAGTGCATGAAGATGAAGATTTCCCCCATGCCCTGTTGACCCTTGCTTGCCCGGTCAGACAGGGCAAATAAGGATGAGCTAAATACGGAGTATGTGCTGTAGGTTCTACGTGCCTGGTTGGGCATGACTCGCTCGGTTGGACCGGGCACCGAAGAGTTACAATTTCAGCATCACAAGCAATTAATTTAGAGGCCGCCTTGCGCGCCCGATCGGGCGTGGTTTGCTTGGTGGGACCGGGCACAAGGAGGAAGTAGAATAACGAAGAAGAGGCGCCGTATCCCAGCCGCCCGATCGGGCACCCCTTGCCCGGTTGGACCGGGCACTGCCTTGCGGAAGCCGTTTTGCTTAATTTCGAGATTTTATCTTTTTGAGGATATAAATACCCCTTGTAATCATCATTAGAAAACACTTAGTTAATTCCTTAAGCTTTATTTTCTCTCTCTAGAACCCTAGTTACTTTCTTTCAAGCATTTTAATTACTCATTAGATTTAATTATTGTTCATCAACAATTTGAGTTATTTCAATTGAAGCATCATTGGTATTCATCTCTATTCTTTTCTCTTTCAATTATTATTGTTTTCAATTATGTTTTCTCCATTGATTATTGTTTTAGGGTTTGCTAATATGAGTGAGTAGTTTTTATATTCCAAGATCTAGGGTAGCCAATTGTGATTGATGCATGAATTAATTCTCTTTAAATTCTCTAGTGACGATTGCGATTATTTATGCTAATTTGATTGTGATTATGCCAATACTAGATTAGAGATAATTAGTATTGTTATTATTCCATAGTTTTAATCACAACGAGAGTTGGGTTTTAACGGATTTGAGTACATCAATTTAGGGTTTGAGATTCATCACGAAAGTAGTTGAATTGATAATTGGGAAGCGAAGCAAAGTGTTTAATGTCTCTAATTTGCATGATTCCATGAGAATAGGCTTGATTGTAGTTAGAGAAGCCATTGATACTCGAGAGAGGTCCTTGGTATTGATTAGGGTTTGCTTTTCCCCATGTTAATTGGATTTGTATGCTAGGGGTAGATAGATAGTTGCATCGATCGTAATTGTGGTGATACTTGATCTTGGATGTTTTAGTTTATTGATTCATTATATTCTTTAGATTTATTGAGTTCTTTATATATTAGTTCTTAGAATATTTCACCATTGATTGTTACTTGCTTAGTGATAATTTGAGTCTATTTAATTAGGTGAACCTTAGTCTCTTGGGATTCGATCCTTACTTGCTCGTCTACATAGTAGTGGTCTCGTTAGGTTATTTTTGTTAGGTACGCGACATGCCTACCACAGGAAAAAAAACTCAATTGCATAATTAATTTGATTAGGGAATTTCCAAAAGAAGTCAATTTATTATAATTACCTGAGCCTGTTTTTAATGAACAGGTTAAGAGTCGTATGAAAAGGTTCTAGTTTTCCTTCGTACTTCATCGAACCCACCTGAAATTAATTAGATCATACTATTAACAAGATGGAGGATACGGAAATGGGCATGTCAAGATGGATAGCTAGTTTTAAAAAATAAAAAAAATAAAAAATCAGGGAGAGTGGCTGATGGGGGCGAGTGAGGGAGGGCAGGGAGATGCAGGGCAGAACATGGAGTACCGAGCTGGTTAAGAGGGGTGTTTGAGGAATACCAGGGGGGTTTTCAATACCCAGAAGTGTTGCCTCCCATTTGGTGGCATGAACACTCGATACATGGGCATGGTCTTATTTGTGAGATGCTAGTAGTAGCTGGAATATTTAAGCCCTCAACTATTCCAGAATGGGAGGCTAGTTAAGGGCTTAATTGTTCCAGAATGTGAGGAATTAAGCCTGCAACTTCAAAATACACTATAAACCTGGTGCAAGAAATAGGGTGGTAGACGCCTTGTCAAGGAAGGGAGGTGAAGTGGTTCAGTTGGGAGCCTTCATCACATTACAGGGGGGATGGATTGGAACGAGTTGAGAAAGGAGGTTCAAAGCGATTCTGAACTGGACAAAATTCAGCAGAAGTGATGGCAGGCGAGGAAGGAAATCAGGGCTATTCATGTGAAGGTGGCAGATTAATGTTCTGAGGGAGAGTGGTCATTCCCAGACATACGACTCTCATCCCGAAATTACTGAGAGAATACCATGACACTCCTGTATCAGGGCACCGGGAGAAACTAAGACCTATTTGAGAATCGCAGCTGAGTGGTATTGGATGGG